TTCAGTATTTTTTGAAATGGTGTCTGTTAAAGGTTTGAATACTGCTTATTCTACAACATGTCGTACATTGAGCGAAATGTGACGACCAAGAATGAACAGCTTCTGTGAGACTCCATCATGGCTTATAATGGACTGGTTCATGTATTGAAAAAAAAGTTGATGCTTATATTTTGACCATTTCAAGTTTGGTTGAAATTCCGAATATAAGATTTGATAGAGCGAAGTCTGCCCTACAAAATCCACTATGTCACTATGCCGAGTATTATAGCCATTTTTAGTTCCTAAGGACTTAGTATGAGCACTATCATTTGTGTGATAGATTACAGTATCACTCAGAGAAAATTTTTATTAGAGGAAGAAAAACTATCAAATGATATATAGGAAAATACGCAAGATCTTGGGGAACAAGAATATGTAGTCAGAATTAATTTGTGTTCAAATAATGATAAAAAAGTCAAGACCATAATATTTAGTAATTTTTCCGAGATTTACGTTATTTTTGATTTTTTTTCATTCTCCTGCTCTACTTGTGACTTCTACAACTTTCTGAAGGAACGTCTGTTTAAGTTAATTTTTTTACCATAACAATAGGTCATTATGTTCTACAAGATACGGGCATATTCGGGTAATTCGAAGATAGTTGTGTTTTTTGTGGGAGAAACCCTATAGAATAGGCCAGCAGTTATATACCCTTAAGGTACTTTCATTTTATAATGTTTCTAGACCGAGAAAAAATACATGATTTTCGACCAGGTCCTTGTTTAACTGATCATTTTGATTAGAAAAAATTTGAATATTACGGAATTCCTAAAAGTGTTTTTAATAATTGTATTTAAAAATCGATCATGACACTATTAACATTGATGATTGATACTACTAAGTAAACGCATTTGTATTACAAATTTATAATCAAATATTGTGTAAAAGAGTTTGTAAGAGTTCAAGATCGCCTCATAATCCTTTAAAATTTTAAAGGGACAAGCAATGGCAAGTGTAAAACATCGCAGAACGATATTCTTTATGAACTTCATTGTAGACATTAGCGATCTTTCAAATATTATGAGAAAGACGCAAGAAAAGAACAGGAAACTTCTTACGTAATTCATGCTACTTATTTGTATTGGCTTTCATAAAGAGTAATGAAAATAAAAAATTCACAGGAAGAGAAAAATTAATGTAATACTCAATAAATTTTGATAAGTCTAAGTTTTCTTTTTTCATAAAATACTGTTCGATTCAATATAGACGTAAGCATTCTAATTTCTCATAATTTATTAATATTTTCAAATTCTTTATTAATATAATTCTTACTGTAGAGATTAAATCGTACATTGAAATGAAAATCTTTAACAAACGAATAATTTCGAACAAAAGAATGTGAATATAATTAAGCAGAATTTCAAGACGAGGAAAATAATTGTGCACGATACAATATGTTTGTTCTTCTTTGTTCACTAATTTTGTTATTCTTTAGTCTACTACTACTACTGCATATTTATGTTTTCATTCTTAACGTTACCAATCAAAATATAAATCAAACAAAACTTCATCAGCATAATTCTACGAATAGTTTTTCATCATGATCAATTCTATCTACTATCTAGAAGTGGTATAGTCCTTCACCTTTTCGTGCTATAATTAATCATTCCAATTTATTAAAGTTATCAACTTGCAAAACTTTTTTCGAGAAAATAGTTTTTGACTGATATTCTATTTCATTATAATCAAAATATAGAGTATAAATTGAGTTTTTATTTATACGAGCAGTTTCAAAAGTACACTTCAAAGCTATTACCTCGAATGGAAATATAAAAATTGACCTTTTCTTCTTCTATGTATAAAGATATAATACAGCGATTTGTTTTTAATTACTCTGACTTCTTGATATCTACTCATCTTTTCTAAACTACTAATAATCAAATTTATTGGTTAGCCAGAAGCGAACTGTCTTTGAAAAGACGCACTCATGCGCTATGATGCTAGAAAACCACTTTTTTTAAATTAATACTATTTAACTTTATACAATGCGTTAAAAGAAGCTTTGAAGCATGTCAAGGTTATTTTGTTATCGATTATTAGATCACAAAAAAAAATATTCAGCAATCCCTTTGCTTCCTATAACAAATCTCACATGGTAAGTTTTAGTTAACATATTGCAACTTCAAAGTTACACATCGGTCACTTTGAATTTAAATACAACAACTGTGTTTCTTAATCAATGCAAAAGGCGAACGTGTACAATAACATTCAAGAAAATGGAACAAGTAAAAATAAACGTTGCATAATATTTTTATAACCTATAGAAAGAAACGGTTAAATTTTTCTATCAACATTAGAAATGATAGATTACAAGCATGCATTGAATAAAGTTAAATTACATAGTAAAGATATACGACAAAGAAAAACTTTTGGAAATATTATGTAAAATAATTACTTACGAATATAAATGAGTAGAATAAGCGCCTTTTGATATTGATGTACTGTTCGATTCAGTACTAAGTGTTGAACGTTGTTGTCCAATATTTTCAGCAAAACCACTATCATGAGATCGATCAACTGCCGGACCCCACTAAATAACATATATATATCATATAAAAAAATGAAATGAAATATTTTCATATATATTTATATATTACTAATGCAAATTTATAATTATTTGATTGTGATGAACGTGAAAAATCTTTCGAAAAAAAAAGGATGATCACGAATTTCTACAAATCAAAAACAAAAGAACCTAATTAATTTTCTCTATTGAAAATAGATCAAACCTATTATATTCGGTCGTGATTCAGCTAATTTTCTTAATGTACTATTCACAAGATGTTGAGCTTCTTCACTAAATGTTGTTGGTAATTCATATTTTTCATGTGTTACTTTACTTAATGTTCCATGAACAGCTGAAAAAATATATTGATGCAACAACAACAAAATATTTCTTTGTCTAACTTACTATCTGTATCAAATGGTGATTGTCCAGTTAATAGAGTTGCTATGAGAATTCCTAATGACCATATATCTGTTGCAAAACCATGTGGAATACGATTTGCAATTTCTCTAAAGACAAAAAAAATTCATATTCTTTTTTCTTTTTTGTTTTTGTTGTTCTATATTAAAAATTTTAATATTTACGGAGATATAAAATTCGGTGTACCACATATTGTTTCATTATTTTGTTCACGTGTTAATGGTATTTTTTTTGCTAAACCAAAATCAGCTATTTTCTATACATGAAAAAAACAACAACAATATCAATATGTGATTATTGTTTAAAGGAAAAGAAAAGAAAAAAAAAAAAAAGAAGTAAATTAAATTTACCACTTCGAATGTTTCAGTTAAAAGTAAATTTGAAAGTTTTATATCTCGATGTATAATTCCATGATTATGTAAATAAACAAGACCATCAACAACTTGTTTAACAATCGTTTGTGCTAAATAAAACAAAAAAAAAAAAAAAATTTTTTTTGAATTTGTTGCAATAATATTAAAAAAAACAAGTGATGTTTATTTTCACATACTCTCAGATTCACAAAGTGTCTTTTTTTCTTTTAAATAATGTTCCAGATCACCATGAGAACAAAGTTCAAGAATTAAATAAACATATTTATCATCATCAAAATAATTTAATAATTCAACTATATTACGATGTTTAACTTGATGATGAATTGTTATTTCAGCCTTTAATCTTTCAAACATTACTGTTGAACGTAAACTAGGTAATACATGACGACGATTACCATAGGATGGATGATGATGTATATTTGCTTGTTCAAGTTTTTTTCTATCAATCTATTTAGATATAAATTAATTAATAAAAATTTATCTAAGCAGAGGAAAAAAAAATATATTAGATATTATTTACCTTTTTACAAGCTATACGAAGGCCATCGACTTTTCTACGTCCTTCATAAACTGTTGCAAAACCACCTTTACCAACTTCATGAGATAATTCATAATGCTAATAATAAGAAATAAAAAAACAATTAATTATTATTTCTTGTTGATTTTATCACATACATTTATTGTTTCGTCTAACCACATTGCATAGAAAATTTTATTCAAACGTAAGAAAAAAAACAATTTCAGAGGAATTAATCTACTAACGTAAAAGGCGTTGCTTTTTGCTCCACATAAAATAAATTTGGTGCAAATGAATTGTTCTTTTTTCTTCTCTATTTCTCTCGCATAGAAACAAAGCAAAACATATACATTGTATTGTTTTTTTTTCTTTTTTAAAACAAATGTATAATGCTGATTTGACTGACGACACAATATACACAAAATAAAAGCGATAAATCATTCGTTGTTTTTTTTCTCAATATTTTCCACTTCAATCAAGATATCTGTTAAGATTTATCTCTGACACATAGATATATATGCAATTTATTTTCGAATGTAAACTTCAAATAATTTATATTCAATAAATAGAAGGATAGATGTTGGTTTTTTTTCTTCTATTATAAACTCTATGATCGATCTTTGTTATAGTACGTTTATTGATATATGTTCAAGTATAAACATAATCTATTCTTTGTCAATAAATTTTTACATCATTGCATTAACTAACTACTCTTATAGCAGAAGAAGAATTCGATGTGTAGAACTATAAATTAAAAAGAAAGAAAAGATTCGTTTTCGTTTCTCTTTGTGATGATGTGCACTTGAATAAAGTGGATGAAAAAAGAAAAAGAAAGCCAATCACAATTACTACACCCTCAAATATTTTGAACTCTGTCCAGGTGCATGTACTCTTTCTAATTTATTTTGTCTTTAAGCTGAAGAGGATTGTACTTTTAGAAACGTAGACAATAAATGAAACTAAAGCAAACAAGAAAAAAACTACTTACACTTATTTTTTCGTCAGGAGAAAATATCGGCATATTGTCACAATTCATATTTTTCTTCTTCTTTTGTTTTAATAATCAATATATATATATATACGCAAGAACTTCACTTGCGTATTCGTCTACGACAAGTTAATGTAAATGTTCTGTTTAAGAACGCAACGTTCATTGATCTAAAAAAAAAGAAAACCAACAGTAATACAAGTACAGTATATCATCACACCTGTTCATGATCTATTTCAATTATTATTTCATCTTCATATCTGACATATAAATTGTTCATTGAAGAAAAATCGGATGAAATCAAACTCACCAAGAAGAAAATGAGAAAGAAAAGGAGAGAGAGAGAGAAAGAGAGAGAGCGAGAAAAAAAAAAGAATCTGAGAGTTTTTCTCATGGAAGGAATGTGTACGAGAACCAGTAGTAAAACGAGAAAAAGCACGCATCTGCATACATATACCGACGAGAACATGCCAAGACAAGAAAAGAAGATGAAGACAAGCGATAAAACTCACTATGGCAACGGACTCAATTGACAATTGTGCTATAAAAGATTGAAAAAAAACTGGAATTTTAGAAATGATTTGTTTTCAAATAAAACGACAGAAAATTAAAAAAAAATAAACTTTTGTTTTTTATTATAGTATAAAAAACGAAGGAAATATCTTGTCAACTAAAACTTTAAATGATATATTAATATTGAAGAGAGGGCGCTGTGATATAAAGATCATGTGTTTGATGATGACATCAATCTAGCAGAACTAATATTGTGACGTCAATTTTAATTTTCAAAAAAAAAAAGTTTTCTGATCGATAAAATAAATTGGCTTTTGATGAATTTCTTTTCAAGTTTTTTATTTTCAAAAAAAGCAAAAAAAAATGTTTTTTTTCCATCATGTGCTTTGTTTAATAAAACTTGATGAGATTCACTTGGGTGAATGAAGGAACATAACATTAATACTGTCTTTTCTTTATAACGAAAAAGAAGAATTTGTCCTTGGAATTAAATCTCTAAGTTTCTTTTTGTACATAGATATAACAAAAAAAAAAGTGAGAGAATAATTTTATCATATGAATGTCATGTCAGAATAGTTACTATCAGGCATTTGATATCGTATTAGAGTAATTTAGATTTAAACATTTTTTTGTATTATGTATTAGAAAAATATCATCACACATGATTGCACTAATGAACATTTGGAAAACTCTAAGGTGCTTATTAGTATCAGTAGAAATATTTAAAAAAAAAAATAATGGGTGTTCCATAGCATTATGTCACACTTATAAATTCTATTTTTGAGGACATTTTTACAAAAAACAATCAACTAAAAACATGCGATGTGAAGAATAAAAATGGTTTAGTCGTTGGATAGTTTCGCCAATCAGAAACTTATGAGATATCTACATTGGTCACTACCGAGTTTGGTTTTCGAAGAGATTTTTCATGCACGCATAAGATTTATGAGATTGAAACTCATTGAGTTGTCAAACGACGATTTCCTGTTTTTCTATGAATAAAAAAAACGAATTGTGTGAGTGCATATTACAAGTTAGACTCGCTCTATGAAATGCTGAGTCAATCGAAAAACAAATATAGCTTAGATTCGTCCGAAAACAGTTTTCTTTCGATACGACGACATTTCTTATTTTGAAACTTGTTCTCCCAAATATTCATTTTAGCACTTCTAAAGCCACGCAGATTCATCTCTTAAAATTCTCTAATTTTTTTAACTTGTTGATTTTTGCATTTGCATGATGTAGTAACTGTCAATTTCATCAACTTTATTCTAATGCGAAAAATCTACTCAAAAAACAAAGTCTATAGTTAAGTAAAAATCTAAATTGTCTATTTGCTAGCATAAAAACTACAATTTGAAACAATTGTGAAAAGTTTCGAAGGTAGAAGATCAAATTGGGTTATTTATTAATGGAGTGTTCGTAATCTTTCTCTCTAGAAAAAAATTTTTACAATTTTCTAAAAGAATCATTAATTCAATTTTATAGTGGAGGAAATTCCTCAATTTAGCGGTATATTTTACACCTCTGGTTGACTCATTGCGTGGTTATGTTAGGAGCAAAATTTGATTCTCAATTGAATGGTACTATTTTTAGCAGTAGTCATCACACAAGGAATTAAGTGTTGACTAGAGATGTGCACCACCAAGTTTTTCTAATCCCGATCGTAGTCATAATGAACCTGGTCTGTTTCTGGTCCTGATAAAGTTTTAGTTTTTAGGATTGGTACTACAAAAGCCTACTTAGGCATAAAAATTAATGACAGAAGAACACGATTAGCAACTGGATAAATAAATAAAAACAAGTTTTTAAATAAAAATTAGCTTATTAAAAATCATTTTTTCGACTCAAATCAAGAAAAATAGCTTTTGTATCATATATTTCAAGCACATGTTCATTATCAAAAGATTTATTATAATTACTATCTGGGCCAATTGAATTTCCTCCCTTTGTTCTTTTTTGTTTCAGTACTATAGTTCTTTTAGTTTTTAGCCTACTATATATATAGACAGAAAGCCCAAAACACGCTGCATCTTTTGGTATATTTACATTGAACGTTAAATACAGTTTAAAAAATAAAAAATGTATGAG